AGATTACTAATTCCAAGTTACATTGTGGATGTGTACACATGCACATGTGGAGAATCAGTGCTTCCAGTAAAAATGAGAATGCATAGAGTTGGTGAGGCTAACCAAAAATATGCCTTTATAAAAATTTGAAATCCAACCAAAAAGGAAAAGGAAGCAGACAGCATCTAACCAACTTTGATCTCAAATGCTAAGCAGGATCTGTCCTGGTTAAATGAATAATTCTAGGGCTGTAATTAGCAGGTTTTAGGAGGAGGTAAATGTCACCAAAATGGTGGGCATGATTAGGCAATCAAAGCCACTCCCCCTTTTTAGCACGCACCACATAAACATTGCACACAAATAAAGAGGTAATATTTGTACTGCTCACACCCAACTTCCTGCTGTTATTGACACCCCTTCCCTAGGTGACCCTGCTTGACACATTGAAAAAAAAACTTGCCAGAGGCATCCTTGGCAAACCACTTCCCAAAAGCTGTATGGATGAAGTCATGAGGAACTGGGCTCAACTCAAAGGCACCTACCAGTTTCTGAAAGGCACATTTATCTAGGAGTAGGCATGTATATGTCTAGTTCAATGGGTAGATTACTTAACAGCTTCAGTTTATCTTCATAAGTTCATTTACAAAAAAAATTCTGAGAAAGAATAATAAACTCCTCTTTTTTATACCAAGATCTCAAGCTATCTTCAATTTCCTGTCATTTTCCATTTGTTTGTGTCTAAGTTAATAGGAGGAAATGCAGCACATTTAATAGAAAATTTGGCTTCAAGGTGCTTAGATCAAATCCTTACCAGTATAGCCCTAGGTATTCAATGCCATCTGTATGCTGATGATGCCCAACTTCTCTTTCCCACTGAAATCCAAGGATGGCCTTCAATTCCAAATGGCCTTCTGATACTCTTAAAGCAGTGGTGGGATTCAATTTTTTTTACTGTCGGTTCTGTGGGCATGGCTTGATGGGCGTGGTGTGGCTTGGTGGGTGTGACTTGCTGGGCATGGCAGGGGAAGGATTTTGTAAAATCTCCATTCCCACCCCACTCCAGGGGAAGGATACTGTAAAATCTTCATTCCCACCCTACCCTACTAACCTGCTTTCCAGCTTCGTTCTCCTGTGCACGGCAACAAAAGAAGACTCAGCTGATCAGCTGGGACTTGGAAGGCAGAGAATAGATGGGGGTGGGGTCAGTCATAGATGGTATTTGCCAGTTCTCCGAACTATTCAAAATTTCTGCTTCCAGTTCTCTAGAAATGGTCAGAACCTGCTCAATACCACCTCTATCTTAAAGGCTAGATGAGAATAATTCTTCAGTCTGGATGCCCAGAATTAAATGCATCCATTTCTGTATATACTTCATTCTGTCATAACATGCCAATTTGGAACATGCTATGATGTTTTTTTTTTTTAAGAATTTGAAACTTTTTTTAAAAAAAAGATCATAGACTCTTTGACTAGGCTGCTTTTGGCATTTGAGGCACCTTGTGGTTGAGGTGGGTGTTACTCTGAACAATGCTGCTGTTGATTTCTAATTGGATGTTGATGGATTGCCATTTTAATGATTAAATTACAATGTTATCATTTATTAAAGCCATAGTGGCGCAGTTAGAGTGCAGTAGAGTGGCTACTTCAGGCTACTACTTTTCTGGCTGCCGGCTGCCTGCAATTTGACAGATCGAATGTCATCAGGCTTAAGGTTGACTCAGCCTTCTCTCCTTCCGACATGGGTAAAATGAGGACCCAGATTGTTGGGGGCAATATACTGATTCTGTAAAACTGATTAGAGAGGGCTGTAAAGCACTATGAAGCAGAATATAAGTCTAAGTACTATTGCTATTCTTTATGTTATTCCCTAAGGTTTCTTCTACCTCAATCCTGGGGGCTCCAGTTTATCAGAATAACACTGATAATGGAATAACGGCTGAATACAATACTTAAATCTCTTCAGGTTTTATCATTAAGATCTCTATGTAAGCATACTATATTTACTTTCTAAGGAAACTTCCTTAAATAAGCCACATACATACAACAATAAATAAATCAATTGGGCATGGAGGGGAAAGAAAAAACATCAACAACTAGTTTAGGATAAAACTAAGGAGCCTACAGTTAGTCAATATTAATTTAGAACAAGATAATAACTGATTTGATTAATGTCTGCTAAGAACTGTGAAGATTCCAGGTCACCCAAAAAGGCAATGGTTGGTTGACTTAATCAAGATCCTATGCTACTCTAGATATTCAAATTGTTTTTATGAGGTAATGTAATACCCTTTTTATGGTATTTTATTTTTATATATTTTATAAATTATACATATTGTATTTCAACAGTAAAATGTATAAGTACATCACACTTTTGAGGTTGCTGTTGGTGTTAGATGAAAACCAGATTGAATATTATGTTAGATAGTGAACGTAATTACAGCATCTGATATCTATTAGGAAAATAGTATAAAGTTAACTATGGCTTAGGTAACAGGAATAATTGAAAGATCTCTCTCTATATACACAAACACACACAATATACATATATGTCACATATGGAGGTCAGGAAAAAACAGCAGGATTTTCTCCTGTCTCTTGAGATGTGCCTGTTCATATGTAAGCTCCAATATGTTTTCAATTTAATCTCAATTATGGGACTCCTTCCCATAATCCCTCTTATAGCAAACAAGGACCCAATGACAGGAAGGTGAAGGAGAAAGTTCTAAATATTTCTCTTCGTATACTCCTCTCCTCACACAGATAATTTCCAAGGCTATAAAAACTCTGGATGATATAGATATGAAACTCTAAAGGTGAGTTGCTCACAAAGATATGCTTCCATTACTTTATGTATCCTGTTTAGGTTTCTTGTTTTGCTTGTTGGTGTGAGAAATCTGCTTTTCAATGAAAAAACTCTAGTCTGATAGAGATTTACAGATACAAGGTACTATCCAACATTCTTCACAAACCTATGCAGGAAAGAGCAGGGTTCCAGAAACACTCATTTGTAAAAAAACCAAAAACCAAAAACCACTCCTTGCTATTAAAGTTGTACATCTCTTTCCTCCAGTGTGAAATCTATAGAATTGTTAGAACATGTGCCTTTGAATGAGAAATAAAACAATCTGAAGGTTTCTGATATTAATCAGTTTGAGAGCTTTAAAGGTATCTTGTGCGCTTTGATTAACTACCCCTCCTCTCACAGGAAACATAAGAGCTTTGGGAATCAGTAATCTTAGGGCATTACACCTAATAGAATCAGCTTAAAAGTGATTACCAAGAAGGGCCTTTTGTGAAGCTTCAGAGACTCAATGGGGCCATACTCAAAAAGGTAATAAAGCCCTTCAAGATTTGATAAGAAATGAGAATTCTAGGCAGCTCTGAAAGTACCACTGACCTGATCAAGATATCAACTGTTTTTCACCATCTGTCTTGGGAATGTGTACTCGTTCTTTATAGGATTTCATTAGAAAAAAACAATCCAAGCAAAGCTGTGCACTAAAGTTGGATGTTTTTGGTCAAGTAGGTTGATTTACTGAAATATTATTTAAACCAATTTGTGTAGAGGACATCTCAGTATTCCTATGGGCACTGAATTAAAACCTGGAAGTACCATGTATTCTCCCTGATCCAAAATGAAATGGATTTGGTGTAATTACAAGGAAGACTCAATCATAAACGAAGAACAAATCTTTTGCAACTTAAAGTGAAGAATAACATGAACACCAGCCGTGCTCAGAAGCCAAATGGGATGACAGTTTCTCAGTCTCTTTATTGCACTCTTCGGGGCAATGTGCTATCTTAAAGTACACAGAGCCATTGCCCTGTGTTTAATACATCATCACACACACATACACACACACAAAATCATAACTAAACAAATAAGTCAAGAAAATGTAAACAATTTGTTTGAGTATCCTTTTAGACTCTCATTTAAAAAGAATAAATTCATACATGAACAAGAAAAACCTATTAATAATTCACAACTGCAAATTAGGCATTTGATTTGTTTCTTTTTTTCCCATAAACTTAATCAATCCACTCTTAATCCCATTTCCTCCTGTTCCTAAGAAGTTCTCATTATGCTAAATAAACTAAATAAAATAATGCCTTCAAACATTGCACAAGAATTTGCAGTTGTTCCTCCCTCTCCAAATCCACTCAAATTTCATTGGCAATTTGGTATGGAGACATCATGTGACTGATCCCGTATTCCCTAGTTAATTGTCTGACCAGCAAAGTTGTTATGATGTACTTCTTGCAATGGAACTAAAAATGAACAAAATGTAGACAAAAAATTATACTGGGTTAAGCACCCCTGGATTATCTTGGCTTCCCCACAGTCTCCACCTTTATATCAAATTACTGCTTTGTGAATAGTTGGCACTATCTTAATCCTAAATCCATTTCATCTTGGGCAATATATTTGTGAGGTAATCTGTAGAACACAAGGAGGTGATATAAAGATATGGTGTTTAAAATTTTCATTGTTAAGTGAATATAAAGGTTAGATTAAATTAATATCAACAATGTCAGTAATTACCAATCCAAGATCTCATGATAAGAAGATGGTTTCCAGACTCTTGGAAGAATTTAATGCATGCTAGCAGAGGGAGCAGAACAAGGAACAGATTTACACAGAAATGCTACCTGGTACCTTCAGAAGCCAATCAAAGCATAATTATATTTTGATTCTAAAAGCTTTTGAGAATTTCTCAGAATCACAAGTCAGAGTAGAGAGGGGACAGCATTGATCAAAGTTCAAGAAAAAATAAATCAAATGCTATTATTTGTTTTCATGACTGCATGTAATAATGTAAGGCTAACAAAAGGAAAGAGGGAAAAAAACCCTCACATATACCCACAGGAGGTGCTTGGTAAAATTATTAATTTTTTCATTATATCTGGTGTCTTGCCATTAATCTAGTTGAATATGGTTAAAACAATGTTTGAATATAATGTTTAGCCATCAAGCTTTGGATTGATAATTTTTTAAAAGCTGATGTATTTTGAGCACTTACCCAATGCTGATCATAATCTGATCTACCTTCCTCTTCATCATATAAAGGTACACCTTCTCTCCTTGCCTGATGATACTCTTTCCGTAACTTCTGGATGCGATCAGCAGTTCCAATAGATGGACGATCACTGGAAAAAAGAAGGAGCATATCAATAATATTTTAGTATATTTACTTTCAGCTGGTTCATGTCTGAATTCATTCAACAAATGCAATTTTTCTCTTAGCTTCACTTCTTCATAAGCCACAATTAGGTAAATAAACACATACAGCATACTGGGCTAGCTGGGGTTTCTTTTTTTCTTTTTACAATTTTATTTCAGTTTGAAGACCATCACATATGGCACATACAGTACATCAAGTGTTAATTAGAGTTCTTTGTAGGCTTCAATATACAGGTAGTCCTTGTCTAGTGATGGCCTCATTTAATGACTGTTTGCAGTTATGACAGTCATAACAAAGTAACTTTACGGCCAATCCTCACATTGACAACCTTCACAGGTCTGTAAAGCAAAGGACAGCTGAAGTAAGATAGTAAGCACATGGTTTCACACTTTGCTTAGTGACTGAGTTGCCAATTGAGGTTGTCAGATGAAGATCACCTATAAATTGTTAGACTAATCCTTATCATCATTCAGGATATCTGGAAAATGGCAGAGTCCTATTTACTCTGAGTTCTTTCTCCTTAAAGAACTATTTTTCAACTGCACATTAAACTAGCAAGATATATGATATATGTTAAGAACAATCATCAGAGAGAATAAGTGCCTCAGAGAGAAAGTCCATTCAGAGAGTGGTAAGAAAAACCAAAAAGATTATAGGAAGCTCGCTTCCTGTCATCCAGGATACTGCTTATAAGCACTATGTGCTTAGTGCTCAAAGCATTGTTAGAGACCCCACACACCCACTTCACGGTCTGTTTCTGTTGCTCCCCTCTGGGAAGAGGTTTCGAAGTATTTCCAGCAGGATTACCAGTTTCTGTAATAGCTTTGTTCCCTATGCCGTCCTTCTGGTAAACACGCAAGATTCGTTTCTCTCGCCATGTACATGTATACATCCGAAGTAGACTGCGTTGTTTCTCCATGTCATATAATATATGTGAGTATATGCATAATTTTGTATGTTATTTATTTAGTCATGTTTATGTAGTGTATATTAGAGGTGGTGACCCTTTGAAAGCTGTATGCAAGGAAATTTCATTTTAATGTATGCCAATTAGTATACATAAAAATGACATTAAAGTTATTCTAAGTCTAAGTCTGTCCACTGTATCAGCGGGATTGGTAGAAATGATCTGATTACTAGATGTGACCTCATGTCTTTTCCTACAAGCCTTTGTCAGACTACTGTGTTTGCCCATCTGACTTCTCTTCCCTCCTTTATCAGTCACCTAACAAATCTTGCCAATACTTGCAGAAGGTTTGTTGAAAGGGCTATGGCATGGCATGATTGGTATCACCTCCAAATTAATGTTGAGCTTGAGCTATACGCATAAACAAAAAGACAAAAAAAAAGTTAGCCGGCCAAGATTTACATTTCCTGTTTTCTGTAAATTTAAACTTAACTGTGGTGGCACGGTGGTTATATTGCAGTATTGCAGGCTGACTCTGCCTAATGTCAGGAGTTGGATCCTGACCAGTTCAAAGTTGACTCAGCCTCCCATCCTTCTGAGGTGGGTAAAATGAGAATCCAGATTATTGGGAGCAGTATGCTGCCATTGTAAACCACTTAGAGAGGGCTGTAAAACACTATGGAGTGGTACAAAAGTCTAAGTGCTATTGCTATTAAATTAATTCAATTCACAGTGATATTTTTGGATCCCATATTTTTTTTGTACATCTGTTCAAATGTAGGGATTATATGAGGAGGAAGAAACAATAATTTTGTGAAGATTGAAGGAGGCCTTGTTAGATAGTACAAGTTCTATGCACATGAAATATAACAAAGTGCTCCCATGTGCATAGCAGATGTTAATGTTTTAAATAAAACAATGACTTATTTCACAGCACAATAGAGAGGATACCATTGAGCCTCCACATTTCCTGTATTCATCTAACTGTGATACATAGGGATGTGAAATCATTTTGCTATAGACTCTGACAAGAGCCATTTCAGTTTTTCACTCTTAACTGATCCATGGGAGTGAGATGGGGAATTCATCCTTCCTCAAGGAGTAAAAGAAACCAAAAAAATTTTTTTTTTGTAAAAATACAGATTGTGTCTTTGTTGAGATTTTCACAGTGCAAATGTTGTAAGTCTCCTAGCAGTTTGGTTAGGAAATGGCTTCTTCTTTTGGTTGATTCTTGGAATAACCAAGTGACATTTTGCAAAATAAAAAACCCCTACCCCAAAATAATCAAGTGGATTATATCTGGATATTTTATTAAAAATCCTGACATAAATCTGCCAAAATGAAAATCTGCCATGCAGAACAGGCAGTAAAATTCTGAGTAATATATTTGGATGTGACACCTTACAAATGTGCACCACAGTCATGTTTAATAATCTTTACTACAGTCATACATTTCCTTACATGGACATTCTTCCTGCCTGGAAATTTTGCAACCTTTGAAGCAAGCACATCTGATCATGATTTCACACTTCACACAATGTTTTATAAAGGCAGTTGCTGTTATTATGAATCAGTGTCTTCATTTTCAGACATCATGCTTGATGGAATAACAAGTTGCCCCTGCTGGCAATTTCTCAGGTGCATCAGAACTCCTTGAGAACTCTTCTGCAGAACAATTATGAGATTACATGGCCCACAGCCTTATAAATGTAGGCCCATGTAAAACGGACTGTGTTGTATTGGATTGTATGGCCTGTTGGCAAACTAACCTAACTTAACTGCAAGGCAAAACTATCAAGTTCCACAGTAAGATCTAATTTCTGAACAGAACATAGCAAAGGAGAGCTAGATTTGTGTATTAAGACAATTCTTTGCACTATGCCTTCATTGAAAATCCCACACACACCAAAGACAAATAAAAACCAGACCACAGATTTTGAGGATTTTTGTTCAATCAGGGTTGACAACAATATAATTAAAAGGATTTTAGCCTAACTGTGGATAGAAAGAAAAACTGTAACAAAAAAAAGCTAACTTCAAGTCCCAGGCAATGTAAAATGATTGTGATATCCAATCCTTTAGTTCAGAATTTCAGTTTGCCTCCTGACAATTACATGAATATATGAACTACATTCCGAGTCACCAGATGAATTCAATCAGGGCCAGGCAAATATCGCATACATAATCTATTAGTTTACCTAAAGGAACTGAAGCATTGAATTCAAACAAAATGAAGTCATTAGTAATAATAATGATAAAAAGAAATGTATAAGGCAATATTTAAAAAAAACCCACAATTTTCTCATATTTGTAAGGAAAAAAATCATTACCAATTGCAACCTATTCTCCCATCTGACTATATAAACATATATTTAGAACTTTGTGTTTGATCAGATAGCCATTCTAAGGTAGAATTATGAAGAAAGAAAACAGATTTTAGATGCATAGGAAGAATAAATGCTTGTCTTAGAAAAAGCAATCATAGGTTACAAAAGAGGGGCAAAAATTTATACCAACTTGAAAACTTGGCATAATACAATATGATAAGAATTACCATTGGAATGTATCTGTGAGACTTGTAATCACTATTTAATTTAGGAACTGTCTGAATGGGGGAGAATATAATTTTAGTTCACCCTGACACCATCTACATCTGTGAACTACACTTAATACTTGGAAATTGTGAGGTAGAACTAGAGAGGAAACTTGATCAATAAGCTAACTCTACCTTATTATAAGGTTATATTAATAGAATCTTGCATGTCTGAAAGTACATTAAAGGAGAATATGTACAACTCAGGTTTGAAATGAGGGGTCCTTAGTGCTCACTGAACATGATTGTTTTCTTGTAGATGTTTCATTACCCAAACTAGGCAATATATTAGTGTTTGGGTAATGAAACATATACAAGAAAATAACCAAGATCAGAGAGCATCAAGGATTCCTTAAAGTACATTTCTCCCCTCTCATTCCTGTTGCCTTTACAGTCTAAGAAACTAGGAAGGCTCCTTCTGAGTCACTTGCTCTGCCTACCTTCTGCTGCAAGATGCTTTTTATCTGACTGTTCCCTTGGCTGCATCTCTTCACCCTGCCTTTCAATGTCATTTCCAAATCAAAGAGAGGGGAACAGACCATAATCAACCCTCAGTCAAATTTAGGCCAGAATCAGTATCCATCCATCCATATAGACACCACATTGGTGTCACCAATAGACTGAATATATGAAGGCAAAGAGGAAACAAGTATATATGTACTAGTTCTGGCTTTTGGGTACTAGTTGAGTAAGGATGGGCTAGCTTCAGCTTCCAGTATAATGCTCTTTATTAGAAACAAAGTTTGTTGACTTTGAAGCAGGTTATATAGCCTTTAGTTACTAGTGAATAACTAAATTATAAAATGCTGTGATATTCATAACTTGTAATATGAAACATAATAAAAACCATGTGACCACATTAATAAAACCAAATTAAAAGCTCATACTACTATACTAGTGGCATGCAAAACACAGAAGTCTATTTCCCAAAGCTTGAAAGAAAGGCAAGTCTTAACAGCTTTCTATAAAATAACTAAAATGGGGGCCATTTGAATCACCCCGTTGTTCCATTCGGTCAGAATAGTAATTGGAAACTGTTTCTGGCACCACCACCTTCTCTTTCTGTACTAGTGATAGGCTGGACAGGGTCAACTTGGAAGACATAATCCTGTAGATATCCTATTTCCATACCCTGTAAGCTAAACAGGCTAGTGCCAGTTTGCCAATATGGCTAATTCCATATTGTATTCAGAAACTCACTGAAAGCCACTGCAGTTCCTATATATAAGCACAACATTACAGAACCATCCCTCTGCTCTCAGCAGTCTATTATTTTCTATATTAACTGCAATGTCAAAAGTCTTCAAGGGCAGATTCAAGAACAACACATTGCAATAATCCAATCTAGAGCCTGACAGTTACCAGAGTTTCTCTCTAGAAGGTCCTAACTAGTGCACCAGTTGAAAGTGGGCAAAAATATCCATCAAACTGTGGGCACACCAATGTGAATTTGGATGGGCTTGAT